AAGTTATAACTCTTTATATAACAGTAATCACTTAATCATCCTAATAAATTAGAGAAATAAAAAAAATTAGAGAATTACAGTCAACGCAACCATAAATTCTTATACGATAGAATTAATAAGGAAATTATAATCAAGGAGTTTTAGAAGTCATTAATGGTATTTAATGAGTTGTTGATATGGTTGATTTAATTGTATTGAAAAATATAGATAAAGTTAATAGTTACCAATAGTATATAAAACTACCAAATATAGTTCCTAATTTAGCATCCGTATATGATTTTACAATTTACTCATGCATACCATCAAATAGAAGTCGTTGAATTTTCATTTTGTAACGCAAGTAGTATTAATTATATTACAATACTCTATTAGATTATAATAATAAAGCAAATAAAGCACACATAGTTAACAACGTCTCCACTAAGCCAATCTCATGGTCACTACATGTCATCTGAGCACAAGGTGTTTGGCTTTTTTTTTTTCTCATAATAACTCATAAATTAAATTCATTAGTTTCTGATACGAGAATCATATTTTATTTACCCGCCACCCGTTCAACTTGTTATAGAGGTAAAAGTTTAGAAGAATAACAAGGGATCGAGTCTCACTAGTCATAGTGCGGAAGGAAGAACCTTTTGGAATAATTATTCTATTTTTTGTTTTCAAAAAGTAAAAAGTAAATTGCAATTATGGCCCCAGTCAAAATAACGGACGGAGTATAAATTGGGTAACTAAATCCCAAAGCCACAGTTACTTTCTCTCCGCATTTTTCTGAAGAAGAAAGATGAAGCAGCAACAATGGCGGCTCTCTGCAATTCTTCTCTTCTTCGCCGTCTTCCTTCTGCGGGCTAGGGCGGAGGACGGATTCGTCACCCGAGACGGCGTTCATTTCATGTTGCACGGCAGCCCATTTTACGGCAATGGATTTAACGCTTACTGGCTAATGTACGTGGCCTCCGATCCTTCCCAGCGATCCAAAATCTCCACAGCTTTCCAGCAGGCCAGAAGCCATGACCTCTCCGTCGGAAGAACTTGGGCGTTCAGCGACGGCGGGTACTCCCCTCTCCAGTACTTCCCCGGCTCCTACAATGAAGAGATGTTTAAGGTTCGTCGCTCGCATGTTTCCTTATTGCCTGTTTTCTCGTCCTGTCCTGACAGTTACAGTGTGAGAATTAGACCCTATCTGTCCTGAGAGTATACTGGTCCTCTCACTTAATGGGTCACTGAATTATTATAATTTATCATTACAGTGTGAGAATTGGACACTATCTGTTCTGAGAGTATACTAGTTCTCTCACTTAATGGGTCACTGAATTACTATAATTTACGCGGAATGTGGGCCCGGCGAGGGAATTTCGCTTTTTGGGAGTAAGAAACTAAAATGTTGTTGTTTTTATTATTGTAGGGATTGGATTTTGTGGTTTCGGAGGCTGGGAAATATGGGATAAAGCTAATCTTAAGTTTGGTTAACAATTACAAGGAGTTTGGAGGGAAACCGCAGTATGTGGAGTGGGCAAGAAACGATGGACAGTCTTGTTCTTCCGATGATGATTTCTTCACAAATCCTGTTGTCAAGGACTATTACAAAAACCACATTAAGGTTATTTTTAGCAACATCAATAATATTCATTGTGTTATACGTTATATTTTAAGATGTTTTCTATACTGCCGATAATACAAGGTACAATTATATCGGGTACTAATAACATTAGTTCGAGTAAAAAAATTCCCAAGATTTTTATGGGGTACATGCATTTTGAGATGGTGATCAGATCAAGAATCGGAACTGATATACGATATTGAATTATTTCCTTATTTAAATTCCAAGGTTTTTTGGTGGGGTTTTCAATTCATTAATTTTCTGGAATTATTATTTTGCCTGTTGAATAGGCTGTTCTTACGAGAAATAATACATTGACTGGGCTTGCGTACAAGGATGATCCTACAATTATGGCATGGGAACTCATGAATGAACCTAGATGTCAATCAGATCTATCTGGAAACACCATGCAAGTATGATTTCTCTTCCAACACTTTCCTAATTTTCTTGCATACAACATTATTTATTTAATGTTTTTTTTTTTATTTTGTTTTAAGCAATTTTATTTTTTATTTTTTTATCGTGTTGTTAGTTGTTAATGACTTTATGGTTTAGTGGCACGAAGTTACTCTTCTAAATGGGAGGTCATGAGTTTGATCTCCCGTAGAGACGGTATTAACTGTTTCAGTAGACCAAGAAAGTAGTTACAGTGACTAGTACTCAAAACCTAGCTAATTTAAAGAATATCATTTTGTAATACAAAATTTGATACGCGTAACATTTTTGTTTTATCTATTTATTACATTTGTTACTATATTTAACCCGTTTTCCATTCAACCGGTAACTTTTTCCCCATTTTACTAAAGTTTACGTTAGTTTCAATGACACAATGCCTTCAATTTGGAGAGGGCTTTCGGGACGGTTTGAGTTTTCACCGCCCCAAACGTCACAAAACATGTATTTAGTTACATTATGTTTGGGACAGTTAATTAATTCAAATGCGATGTTTCTATCGTCATAGGTCAATTTTTTCCCTGGACCCACATAATAAGATCGAGTAAATTTCATTTTTAATTATCGCATATTGTAGTATTGATGCTTTTAATTTTGCCACATTATATCTTGATTTTTATTTTTATTATTATCATAATCATAATTAATTTTCTTTTAAAATTTGGTAATTCCATTATTATTTAATAAACATTGGTAATATGTAATTTAATCATTTAATTTAAAAAATTTGTAAGAAAATGGAATAAATTACATTTGGGGCTAGATATTTGGATAATAAAATTACTCCGCATATTTTAATCACCTTTTATTAAATTGTGAAACTTAAACTAATGGCTAATTATGATTCGTGTTGCAAAAATTGCGCCTAGACACTAGACGGTCGGCCTCCTAGACACCATAGGCGGTCCCCAGGCGTCTAGAGGGCGCCTAGCGATTTTTTCAACATTGTAATCGATGTATATGGTTTTTTGCAGGCTTGGATCGCAGAAATGGGTTCCTTTTTAAAATCTATTGATAATAAGCATCTATTAGAAATTGGGCTTGAAGGGTTTTATGGACAGTCAGACGCGAAGAAGCAGAAATCTAATCCCAATTTCCAAGTTGGAACCGATTTCATCGCAAACAATCAAATTCCCCACATTGATTTCGCCACTCTCCACTCCTATCCTGATCAATGGTAGAATATACACTTCCTTTCCTTATAAATTAGTCTAAATTAGACTGCCAAATCATCGTAATTTACCCTTCTATTATCTTATTGGTGAGTTTTGGGACGAAAAATTTGACATTTTGTAACTCAACTTAAATTGTTTATAGCTGACCGACTCAAACTAAGAAAACCAATAAATTACTTTAGATTCTTGAAATGACCAATAACTGTGGTAACCCAGCTAAAGACAGAGGCTATACATTTGTTTACTGCGCACAGAAAACCCCTCACTTTGAGAGGTTGCTCCTAATGAGACTTGATCCTCGATCTCTGGACATTCTTCCTAAACTTCACTCATGTGACCAACTGAACTGCCCATGCAGGCAAAATGATCAATTTTCTATGAATTTATGAATAGTCGTTTTGTTGTGTGAAGGTTGATTGGGCAAAGCGATGAAGCTCAGCTCTCATTTCTGAAAACCTGGGTCAGAACCCACATTCAGGACGCGCAGACCATTCTTCAGAAACCCATATTCTTAGCCGAGTTCGGGAAGACCACTAAAGATCCCGGCTACAACGTCTCCGCCAGGAACCAGCTGCTCTCCGCCGTTTACTCCGCCATCTACGCCTCCGCCAGGGGCGGCGGCGCGGCGGCCGGCGGCTTGTTCTGGCAGCTGTTGACGGAAGACATGGATTCTTTCCGGGACGGCTACGAGATCGTGTTCAGCGAGGACCCCTCCACCGCCGACGTCATCACCCGACAGTCGAAGCAGCTGACCAGGATTCGTAAGATGTTTGCCAGGCTTAAAAACCTCGAGAAATGGAAGAGAGATAGAGACAACAATGGCAGCCCCCCTCCCGCCCGCAAATGAATTAACATATATCATCTCCGACCGGTTAAAACTATAGTAGTAGTAACGACTTATATTCACCTAGCAATTGTATGACCTGATTACAAACTGCATTTCAGTAACATTACCATATTTGTTCCCAGAATATCTCAAACAGGTAACTGGTTTGTTGAAATGTGTGTTGAGCATATAATATATAAATATAAATATACACTTCAACTATCAACCGAGACAAAACAGATATCAGAACCCGTTACTTAGAACCCATAAAAATAAAAATAAAAAAATCTATCCACAAACGTAACATGAGAGAGCGTGTTGAGCATATATATATATATATATATATAAGCGCTCACATGGGGTCATGTCATTAGGTATGGCGGTGTGGTCGTATCTGTGTCGTTGAATCAGTTTAATCTAACTGCAGTGGTAATTCTGAGAATTTTCGCACGTTTTGGTAAGTGGGGGTGTTATGGTAGTTACAGTAGTCATTTATAGCGGACGAGTTCTAAAATACACAAACAGTGTTAACAACATGCACCAATACTGTAATAAAACACATCACAGTGAAACACATCAATAGTGTATTCTTGTGTTATGATAATTACAATGGCCATTTATAACGGCCGAGTTCAAGAATACACGAACAGTGTCCGATGCTTTATGACGAGTTTACCCTTGTAGTTCGGTGGGTAGGAGAATGTGCGCGAAAATACTGAGAGAATCTTGATTAATATGATTCATTGGATCTATCTAATCTAATGACCTATAATATAACCACACCTAACAACATGGCCTGATCACCTATATATATATATATATATATATATATATATATATATATATATATATATATATATATATATATATATATATAAATGACAGTCTAACTATCAGTTTAACTTTTAGTTAACGAAGTCGGTTATTTATAATGGTGGTCACGGAATATCTCAAACATGTAACTGGTTCGTTTATATAAATATAAATGTACAGTCCAACTATTAGTTTAAACTTTTAATCCGGTAACAAAATGAACCCGATCATGGGTTCGAATCCATGCCATCAAAATGGGCTCAGCCATTACAATTACCTGTAATGGTGATCAAGAAGCTTTTCATATGACTGTTCCATCTCTGATCGTTGCGTTCTTCAGCACGATGGTGATCCCGGACCTGATGTAGAATCCCTCGTCTGCTCTGTCAGCTTCGTCCACTCCCTGCAAAACACGGGTCTCAGGTGGGGTTCAAAAAGATGGGGAATTTCATAAACAAGGTTCTAAGAGTGAAATGGCAGGGCGTAGATACATACATCCTTGTTTGCAATAACCACGTCTTTTCCTATCCTGGCATTCTTGTCAATTATGCAGTTTCTAGCAGAAAAAAATACCAAAAGAAATCATGAAATCAGTGTGTTCAAGAAAAGGCGGGATCATAGAATCATAGTTTAGTTCAGTTCAGTTTATGCGGGATACTTCAATCAAACAGTTTGCTTGTAACAGATTCTTTAAGGTCACAGAGTACCTGATTTTCGTGTTTGTGCCAATACCAATTGGGACATTCCCGGTGGCTAGTAGAGAAGCGATCTCCGATTCTGTTTGGTAGTAGTCTGCGCCCATCACCATGGTATCCTGAAAATCTCGTAATTTAGAACTTATGCACGAAACGTTTGAAGCAACTTTGACAGCTGAATCCACAGAAAGCGGGGAAAATGTCTATGAAGCCGAGGTGAAAGCTTACCTCAAGCTCGACACCATAATCTAATCGTGACCGAATGCCCACTATAGAGTGTTTAACGCTACACTCTCTTAAGAAGCAACCATGTGAAATTATTGCATCCACTATCTGAAAAGAAAACATATCGTTTTGATCCGATATTAAGAATGGTAAGCTTTAAACAAATGCAAATAAGTCTAGCGGGCGTACCTTGCACTTGTCGACTTTAGTAGGAGGTAAGAATCGCGGTGAAGTGTAGAAAGGGGTCTTCGGGTCATTGAAATCAAACATAGGAGGCTGCAAAGATGTATGGAAAAAAAAAAAAAAAGTATAAAGTTCAAACATGTCCCGCTAAACTAAAGATCAATAGTTCTCAAATAGCTCGATATTGTTATCAAGACAGTAGAGCTAATATAACCTGCTCGGTGAGGGCTAAGTTTGCATCAAAGAAAGACTTCACCGTTCCAATGTCCTCCCAGTAATCACTAAACAAATAAGCCTGAGAACCGAACATAACGAATCAAGTGAATTACCGAACAAAACCTTCAACAACTAGAGCAGTGTCAATTGAAACTCGATTGATTCCAGCTCTTACTTGGACATTATGGTCCTTCACTGCAGCGGGGATGATTTCTGACCCAAAATCATTGCACGAAGGGTACTGCGACCTTAGGAGATTTAGTAGAACCTCGGTTCTAAAAACGTAAACACCCATGGATGCAATATAGGGATATTTCTTGGCCTCGTTCTCAGAAAGTCCTAGCAGAGACGTGTCAACTTGCTGCAACGTAAAAACAACATAAGAAATGTGGAATTCCAAGCCAAACACAACTCGAGAGCTACGAGGATATTATATTAGTTTAGAATGATTTAGACGAAACTAAGCTAAGTACCATTGTTTTCAGAGCAGGCCCTTTCGGTTTCTCAGCGAAGTGGACAATACGCCCGCTTCCATCAATTTTCATCAATCCATAGTCTGAAGCTCGGCTGCAGAAACGAAAAAAGTTACAAAGTTAGACCTTTTGGTTGCATAGTAAAATCAAGATACGAACTTGCATTGAAAATTCAATCGTATACCTATCATCCATTGGTACACAAGAAACGGTAATATCAGCATTTGTGTCAATATGCCTCTGCAAATACAAATAGCATGATCGATAAATATGGGGCAGTAAAATATATGGAATTCACCGCCAATTAGTGAACCAGTACCTGAACAAAGTCCATGTAGTCCATTCGGTAAAGATGGTCACCCGACAAGATTAATATGTTGTCGATGTTCTTGTTCTTGGCGTCCTGAACAATCAAAGAAAACCAAACTCAATGATCTTCTCGATCACCTTAAATTAGTCAAAGACAGTTCTATCCACAGCAGCACACACCTCAAATACCCATATAAATTGCCGCACAGCATCAGCAGTGCCTTGGAACCACATTTTTCCCGCTTCTCCTGGCGTTTGGGTGGCAGCTAGAACCTGTTGTATCGAGAAAGATTCTTCTTTAGTACTTGCCCTCTTATTTTCATATCTTTAAATGTCTATTATTAGTGATATTACATTTTAAAGTTGTGGGGCATTTAGGTGGGTGAGTTTCATTGGGACTAATCTTACCTCAACAAAACCATCCCCGAAATTGACTCCATTTCCAATGCCATATGCGCGAGCAAGATGACGATTAAGTGAGAAGGAATTGAACTGCGTTAGGATAAAAATTTTACGGATGCCACTGTTGATACAGTTGCTCATTGGTACATCAATTAGCCTGTAGCAACCACCTATAGGAACCTGCAGAACAAAACAAATGACCAAATTTGAAAGACAATGGATGTTCACACCCCATAAACTCCATTGATTTAGGGGAAAACCAAGATGCACATTGTGTTAAACCCGCCTTGTGACCTTAGCCAACAAAAGATCATAAAGAGATGAACCAGCCTAAGTTATCATAACTGAAAGAAGCAACCCGAAGGTGCATATTCAATGAAACTCACCTTATGACCCTAGTCCACTAGGTGAGCCCACCTTATAATCCTAGCCGACCAAAGATCATAAAGAGGTAAACGAACCTAAATTATCATAACTGATCAACTCAAATTATCAAATTAAGAAGGCCAACCCGAAGGTGCACTAGGGTGGCCAATCCACTTGTAACTAGCCTAAGTCTAAGTTACCTGACCGGCTCAAACTAAGAAGATTAATAGACCGCTCAAACTTGGAATCTTGTGATTACCAAGTCAATTGTCTGATCAATTTGGCTAGAATTCAGAAGGCCATAAACTCCTAACAATTTACAAACTTTGGCTAACTAACACAACACACAGATCATTACAATCACACATGGTATCATTTTAAGACATCATATTACAGGCCAATACCAAACCACAAGTCCACAACACACAAGTCCACAACACAAGATTTAAAGCAAAACTATGCAAAACATCTCTTACAGCTGGTTTAGCCCTGCTTCTTGTAAGTGGAAAGAGACGAGTCCCAGCACCACCACCCAGAACAATCGAGGCAACATTTCTGGGGTCACCCTGTGGATGCTCTTCAAAATGCTGCGTCTCAAATGACTGAAACAAACATTAACCCACCAATCAGATACATCCCAAACCTTAAATTCCACAAAAACACACACACACCATTTGATCACTGTATGAATTGAATCTACATAAACATACCAAATGTTGTTTGTTAATATCATGTGTCACAATAGAACAGGCCACCCCAAGGTTAACCTTCTTAGGCATCCCCTCATGTCTCTCAGTTTTAACCCTACAACCTCTGATCCTCTCTCCCCAGAATCCACTATCCCCATAGCCAAAACCCTTGCTAACTGGCACTGGGTGGGCCCTCATAGAAGCACAGAGAGCATCCATAACTCTATATCTATACTATATAAAGCACAGTAAACTAGCTTCTTGATGTCAGCAAAGCTTTTGTAGTTCTTTACACCTTAAAGGCTAAAACTATCTTTTATAAGAAGAATAATAACTTCAAAAGGGAAAAGGCATTGAAAACCAAGAAATTTTTTGAAAAAGCCAAAAAGTATCAAAAACCCAAGAAATTTTTGAGACCTAAAAATGTGTGAAGGAAAGAAGTGCCCAGATCACAGAATCAATGGGGGAAAATCCAAGCTTTGTAAAAGACTACTAGTTCTTGGTCTACGGAGGTAGTGATGACGAGAAGGAAGAGTTGATATGAGGGAAAATGTGAGGTCAAATTATTTTTGGGAGATTTCAACGTCCAATGTGGGCAAAGATAGAAGCTTTATACAGTGTTGTGACAATGGTGGCACTATAAGTAGCAGGACAGTGGTTAGGTCAGTCACGTGGATGGCTGCCTCCACGTCGCCGTACAGACATATGCCACGTACAGTGGTGTAGGCCCAGCAAATCAGATATTATTATCTAGTAATAATTAATAATACAAGTGTATTATTAAAACGGTCTAATTATCTTATTCATTTTTTCAACTTTTATCTCTATGACTAGTTGAATTGACATAAGTGGCATGGAGTGACTCTTTCAAATAAAAAATAAAAAATTTTATAAACAGTATTGATTCATTGGACTTTAATAGATTGAGAAAGTATATTCGAACAACTATTACATTTATTTATCCTAATTTATATTACAATGTAAATTATATTGAATATTTATTTTTAATGCACTAAAAGTTACTTTTAGTTAATATACTAAATAATGAAATTTCAATTCGCAAAAATTGAATTTAATGAAACAATATTTAATGTACTAAAAAAATATTATTTTAGTGTTTCACCTTATAATGTGATTTATGGTTTATGGTTGGGTTGATAATATTAAATTTAACTTTTAAGATCAACTACATTAATAATGTTTTTTTGATTTTTTTTTGCGGGACCAAACGTGATGTGTAGGAAATAGAGTATATGAGGGAGATAATTGGGGTCCTCAAGCAATAGATCAGATGATTTTTTGTGGAGTCTACGTGGTGAGTGAAATAAGTAAAGTTTTGTGCATGTTCTGTGCACTTATGCACCCAGCGTGGCGCGTGCACTAAGCGTTTGATTCCTGTTTGTTTGTTTTTGTTTTTTTGGTTTTTTTTTTCTTATTTTTTCCCTCCTCGTTCTCTCTCCTGCTTGGACCTGCAAAAACAAAGAAAAAAACCTAAACTAAGGAGGTTGCTCTAAGGTTGAGCCAATCGATCGATTCCTTAGTGCACACTCTTAGTCATTATAAGCACAATACAATGTAGGAGGTGGTGGAGGGCATTGGTCGATAGGTTCTTTAAACGTATGCAAAATTGCAATTTGTGTGAAATAAGCAGTATCCTCACATTAAAATTAAACATCATTCATATATATATATATATATATGATTAATGTTATGGGATATATTATTATTATTTGGAAATTTAAAATTTGTTTGAAATTTTATAGATCATCCACATATTCAAACTCAAGCCAAACTAATTGCCCATTTACAAGGGATATATATATATATTGTTAAGTCCCCACGTATATCTACGAAGAAGTTAAACAACCAGTTTCAGATTGTTTTTTTGTTTTTTTTTCACGGTAGACTAAAGAGTAAATATAACATTATTCGACTTTATTAGCGGGTGATCTAATTGCGGATGACAAAGTGCGTTGGTCGGTGGATTCCGTAAACGTATGCAAGATTGCAATTTTTGTGTGAAATAAATAGTATCATCACATTAAAATTAAATGTCATTCATATATATTGATTAATGTTATGGGATATATTATTATTATTTTAAAAATATGAAATTTCAATATTTCCTTCAAGTTTGATAGATCATCCACATATTCAAAACTCAAGCCAAACTAATTACCTATTTACAAGGGATATATATTACTAAGTCCCCATTTATATCTACTAAGAAGTTAACCAACCAGTTTAAGATAAAACTTGTTTTCTTCTTTTCAGTGTAGACTAAAGAGTAAATATAACACCTCCACCTCGACGACACATACATATGTATACGATGATCGGGTGATGGCGGCGGAGAGCGCGTCATGTCGGGATTTGGTGACGTATAGCATCCTGGTTTGCTTGTCGGCGGGCGGCGCCGGAACCAGCTTGTGGCTGTTGCATATGTCGAAGAGCTTCGATGATTTTGTACGCATCTTTGCCTGCTTCTCTATTCTCTCCTTAGCTTTCATCCATTTCGCCGTCGACCTTTACGGCGCCGTCCTTGCCGTGATTGCCAGCCGGAGAGTTTCTCCCGTGCCGGCGCCTCCGTCGCCTCATCTTCCGGCGGTTGTGATTTGTGAATAATCATAGTGTAATTAAGGTGCAATGTTTAGAGTTTTTGGTTGGCATTTAGATAGAGTTTGGAGAAATTTTCGTTTTTAATTTGGTCGTATAAATAACAATAGACTTTTTTTTTTTTTTTTTTTTTAACACAATGATTTATCAAAGCTTACAAAACTTAATCAATCTTAACACTAATCACCAAAACATATAAACAAATCTTACACTTTCGAGCCTCAAAGGTAATTAAGTAAGTGGACTATGATTATTGCACATAGTGTTCGTGATAATATACTACAATATACAACTATTCAACATTGTATTATGAACAATAATTTTATGCATTATGAATATGAATCTGTACATTAGGAAGTCAAATTATGCATATTGGACTAGGATCCACAGTGCTCCATGACAAATTATAGCGTGCACCAGGATGCACAATTCATTGTGCACCCTGCACCCAAGCCAAAGCAATGTATTCTCTATGTTGGATGTACAAAATTGTATAATAAAATACATATAAACTCCCAACATAGTACACATATAAACTTTTAACTAGTATAATTATAATACACATAAACTACACAAGTGTTAAAAAAAATTGTAATGGGATTGAACGGTTGTGTGTCCTGATGCACGGTATAACGATTGGTCTTGAACCCGGCAAATTATGCTGTGCATCCGTATGCACCATGCATGGTGGTGCATACGGATGCAAAAATGACGTCATTTTAATAAAACGCGCGTCACCCCTTAAAAAAAAAAAAATCAGGTTCGATTCCCAGCAACAACATATGAACTAAAATTCCATAATCGATGAACTATAATTTCATAATCGATGAACTATAATTCCATAATCTAATCTATGAACTAAAAATTTCCTAAAATTTCAGAATCGATGAACTACAATTCTATAATCAATGAACTATAATTCCATAATCTATGAACTAAAATTCCAGAATAAATGAACAATATAATGTTGTTGCTAGGAATCGAACCTGAATTTTTTTTTTTTAAAGGGGAGACGCGCGTTTTTTAATAAAACGACGTCGTTTTGGCATCCGTATGCACCATGCATGGTGCATACGGATGCACAGCATAACCATTGCTTGAACCCCTGATGGAAGGCATTTGGACTTTCAGACCACTCATACGGCCCACATATAGCACACCAAGCCCATGATATTGGGCTCAGCATGGTAAGGCCCACATCTTGAGCCCAAATAATATTGACCATGTATTAGCAAGGGTATCCAAGTAACTTCACATGGCAACCTCTAATGGCAAAATCTGCGCCTCACCCTTCTCTGATCAATCCTCTCTATCTCTCTATCATCTCCATTTCCACTCTGAAAGGGCAGCAAAAATGGCGCTTACTCTCTCCAACGCCTTCCTTCAGAGAAGCCTCCCCCTCCCACCACTCTCCATCAAGAAGGTAATTCCAAGAAACCCCAAATTCTCATCAGCTTAACGAACTGCGAATTTCACTTCTTTTTTGTTTTCTTGAAATTGTTTACTTTTTTCAGTTCAGTGGAGCGGGAGAGGGGTTCAATAAGGCGGGGCGGTGGACTTGCCGGAAAAAGGACATCCACCCGAAGTTCTACGACGACGCCAAGGTGTACTGTAATGGCGAGCTGGTGATGACGACCGGCGGGTCCAAGGAGGAGTACGTGGTGGATGTGTGGTCGGGGAACCACCCTTTTTACCTGGGCAGTAGGTCTCAGCTCCTTGTGGACGCCGGGCAAGTCGAGAAATTCCGGAAGAAGTTTGCGGGTTTGACAAGTATTATGGAAATCCCTGTGCTCAAAGGAGAAATTGTGATTCCTCCTAGGAAAAAATCGGCAGGGAAAGGGAAAAAGAAGTAGAAAATTCATTGTTTTTTGGGTAAAAGTTTGGAGCTTTTGTAGTTATTGCTTCCTAATTTGACATGTTAAGTTGTTAACTCTTCAAGTGTTTCATCTCAAAGAAATGAGCTTTCTTCCTTTTAGTGTGATTGTGTGATTATGATCATTTGCTTATTGTTTTTATTGATTTGTTATGGATTTAGCTTGGCATAGAACATTGAAAGTTATTGCAGTTAGTTATAGTTAGTTGCCTTTATATTATTCCATACTACATACTACATAGTAGTTTTAAAGTAAGAAATTGGATTAGTTGATTTTGTTTCAATTTACTAAGCTTAAAATGGATTGACTGAAGAACATCTCTGAACAAGCCAGGGGTTTTTCTTCACTTCGAACGGGGATGAGGTTTAGTCTCTTATCTGTAGTACTGATGGTAGCATTGCTACTATTGCTCATGTTAAATGTTTGAGAGGGTTCGGATCATTCGTGCCCATTAAAGGTGTGACAATCTTTTGCTACATTTTATTTCTGAATGCGGTTTAGCTTGGTAGTCCGGATGATAGTAATTGTTTTTACATTTTCCTTGTTGCAGTTTGCTGGAAAATATCACTTCGTAGTGATTGCATGTTCAAGTGTTCATACAACAATTGTTAAGTTAATTTGGCCAAGTAAGAATCTTTCATTATTTGGTTTGTGCAACGAGTCCGGTTGGGAATGTATTTCATCTACTAATCTCTTGTTCCCAAAGTGCACTTAGGAATGATATTACTGGTTTTTCATGAAGAAGTAGTCATGTTTATGTTCTGAGTCTTAAATTTGCAATAGCACAATGAAGAATAAAATGACTTGAAATTTTCCCTTGAGATGTGATGTAAAACGTTGTTATCGTAGTTCATTAATCAGTCCCATCCTGAGTTCCGAACTTTGCTACTCTATGTCAGCGAGGAACTCTCATTCAGCGATTCAATATACCCTTAAGTTTGCATGAAGAATCTAACTGAAATACCGATTAATATGATACAGTTAGTGTATTTTTCGGTTTACCTGTATTTTAAGAACAATATTTGATGCGTTCTTGCTTATTTAGTGTCATTAGCACAGCAGAAGATTCAACCAATCC